CAGCAACAGCATCGTCCCCGGAGATACTGCTACTAGAGGGACAACTGGCTTCGGATCCTGGGTTTAGGAGCAAGTGAAGAGATTCTGTTGCCTTACTGGTATGAATCGCCAATGGTCATTTCCTAAGTGCAACAACTGCTACAAAAGGTCCACTTTCCCTAAAGGACTTCATTCTGAATCTATTCAGGTCTTCCTAAATAAACAGCAACTCCAACAAAAGCTATTGAATTCCCCCAGAATTAAAATTATTTTATAGGAGGTCCAGGCATGAGATACCGATTTGTTTCTAGTCATCCATCCATCCATCCATCTGAGCCTCAACCACTTTTGCTCCCTGTCTGAAGCTGGAACCCCGCTCTTGCCCACAGCGTGAACACAGTCCATCTTGTCCACGGTCCTTCATATGAACAAACCACAGAAGTACAGCGTGGACCTGCAGCACTGACTATCACATATGCCGGGGGCCAGGTGCCTGTCAAGAGGGAGCGAGGAACCAGCCCAGGTCCAGGCTGCTCAAGCAGGGCAGAAAGCAAGGGGACATCCATAAAGTCTTTTGAAGAAAACACCCCTATCTCTGTCTAGGGATCTGCAGCTCCTGAGCTGAAGCACACGGAACAGGTTGGTGGCAGCAGCTTTTTTAAAATTCATGAAGTCTTAACGCATTACCAGATGATTTCAGTGCTGTGAGATAACTAGACAAAACAGCCCAACAGGGGGGAGATGCTGATGTAGTAGCAGCCATAATAGCGTGTGATGCTGCACGCATCTCTGCTTCTGAAAATCCACTCATCTATCTTGCCAGGGGAAATTGCTGTGATTCTGTTTCATAGTGGAGGTGGCAGGAAGAAGGAGGCAGACACATATTTTCCTGTGATGAAGGAGAAAGGCCAGGCCATGCCCCACTTCACCTCCTGAAGCCACCCTGGCCTCTGGGTGAAAGGCTTAGAGACTGGTGATGGCAAGTATTCAGTAGGGAGGGTGCAAATGGCCATGGTCTAAGAGAAACAAGGCTTTGGAGCTCCTCTGCTAGCAGTGAGAAATGGTTTTCCCTCCCTGCCCTGGTGTGCCCCTCTGTCCACTCGCCCAGAACTGAAGAAAATGCCAGGACAAAACAAGCTGGGAGCCAGCAGGCTCCTCCTGCTCTTTGCCTGTCAGCTCAGGGTCGCACGGGCTGAAAACTTCTGGGTGAAGGTAAATCTGTGCCAGCCAGGGAAAACTCTGACAAACAGCTGAAATGCCTGATTTATGTACCTGTACCGAAAGCATTACCTGGAACACCCCAGCTCAGCTGCTGCCTTAGGCTGGAGGCGGGTCGGAGCAGCCCTCCCTTGCTGCCATGGTTGTGCTTTGGCCAGTGCAATTCCCCGTTACATTCCTGAGAGGCCTCGTCCTGCTCCCAGCATGTGGCTGAGCCAGCCCGACAGTGTGGGGAGGGGATGGGAGGGTTTGCATCTCCACCTGAATGTGGGTGCCTGCGTAACGAGGGGCCTCTCTGTAGGTTCTTCCCATAGTAGAGAGATGGGGAAAATCTCTGCATTTACCTTCCTGCTCCTCCTGCCCATCTCTCCCCCTCGTGTGCCCGGCAGCCTCCTGCCCAACCTCTCTCCCTGTATCACCCTACTGCCAGGGCAGCTGCTGGTGGCTTTTAAAGGCTCATGGAAGGGCAGTGGGAGGCACCAGAGGTCGGGTGCCTATTGCTTTTTTTTGCCTGGCCTTTGATGACCATGGTGAGATGCAGAGAGGTCCAGTACAAGTCACCTGACCTTTTAGCATATTTTACACCCATGTATGAGCTGGATACCTTTAGCAACTTGCTCCGTGAAAATCTGTACCAGATGCACGAGCAGGAAATCAAGCTTCGTCATTTCCAAAGACAAAAGCTACAGTTTAAAAAATTACCAAAACCGTCTCATAGTGGTAATTTCTCATGGAAACAATTTGTTGTCCATGATTTCAGGATGGTGAAATGCTGCATAAACATCCCGCTTGTGATTTTTCAAACTCCCCTTCAAATTTCCACAGGAATGCCTGGCCTGTGGGGTGAGTTCAAGTCTGCCACTCCAATTTTCAAAAAGGGCAAGAAGGAGGACCCAGGGAACTACAGGCCGGTCAGCCTCACCTCCATCCCGGGACAGGCGCT